ATAAAACTATAATAACAGATTCATCATTTTCTACATAAAACTGTAATAATAAATCCATGGTTCTCCACATAAAACTATAATAACAGATCCATGGTTCTCTACATAAAAACTATAAAAACAGATCCATGGTTCTCTACATAAAACTATAATAACAGATTCATCATTTTCTACATAAAACTATAATAATAAATCCATGGCTCTCCACATAAAACTATAATAATAGATCCATGGTTCTCCACATAAAACTATAATAACAGATCCATGGTTTTCTACATAAAACTATAATAACAGATCCATGGTTTTCTACATAAAACTATAATAATAAATCCATGGTTCTGTACATAAAAACTATAATAACAGATCCATGGTTCTCTATGGTTGTGCTAAACCTCTACGGGTGTAATATACCTTTGGCCAGAGGCGGCGCTGTTGCGGACGCGCCATGTTTAAACAGCAGAGGATCCGTCTGTTCTGTTCTGTTATTACTGGAGCTCAGAGTGACAACACGGTAAACTCCTGCGATAAACTCTTTTATTTCAGCATGTTTCGTGTGTTTTACAGTTTGACAATTCTCACATTTACTGGTATTTTAGACGGACCTTTGATAAGTTTGAACGGTAACATTAATGTTACGATATGATGTGTAAAAGTGTATCGTTATCTACTTAAGGTGACTGCTGCTCTTTGTTTCGTGCACCGTGTTTGTTGAAAGATTTGGTGTCATTATCTTTATTACAACACCCCTCTTAAGTTAGTATTTACCGTGTACAGTACCGCGGGTAGATATATATGTGTAATATTACATGAGGAGTGCTCTGTTTTGATCACTTTGCTCGTTAAAAAACTGTACAGTATTTGTCCAGATGTTGTGATCAGTCATTGTACTCCACTAGTTGGATTGGAATAATGAAATAATCTCATAACTAGGTTAAAAGACACCGTGCTATATGTATATATTTGTTGTTGTGTGTACTATAGCACTTCTGGAAAGCTTGCACATTTGATTTTTAAAGATGATATGCAGCATTACAAGTATTTGTGTTCATGTTTTTGTCACATATTCATTCTTCATTCTTCTGTGAGTAGCTAGAGAATCATATTTCACTCATAAATCTTTGTTTAGTCCTCCAGGTTACTTTTTTTGTGGAATTTGGTCTAAAATATTTGATATTCTATGAGTTTTATTAAAGGAGACCTAATATGTTTTATCCATTTAAAAAAAAAAAGAACTAATATTATAAGAACATAATAAACTGAGATAGTGACAGTGATATGAATATCAAAGTAGTGATTTAGGTACATGTAATATGAATTCCAACTGAGGGGTATATATGTCATGTTTCTAAACACATTTCTCTGTCATTGTAGAGAAAATGAAGAACATTGTTTACTTTTTCATTTATTTGCTATGCAGGACCCTTCTGAGGAGACCAAGAGGATCGAGGACAATCCGTCCATGAGGGACCACAGTGCCCCTGTGAAGCAATAGACTATGAGAGGAAGAGATGCCTCTGACCAAGCTGAGGTACTGGAGAAGTACATTCTCCAGTTTGGGAAATACAAGGGGATGTGGACTACACCTTGTACCTCATCCAGAGCCAGCAGATAGAGGAGGCTGCAGGAGTTGTTCTAGCTGAGCGGCGTAGCAACGACAGCCTTCAGTCCTTCCTATGCTATGCCCTCACCTTCCACAAACAACACCCATGCCTACTCCAGCAGAAGAGGAAAAGCAGCTGGTGGGACCTGGTGCCCGTGCCAGCAGTACCTGGAGGCAGGTCTGGCAGAGCAGGGATCCTGGCTACGCAGCCTTCATCCTCAAAAGGAAGTGTGCAGTGGGGACCAACATTCATAAGCTGCCACAGTAACTGCAGAAAAGGCAGCAGCTCTCTACCTCTGTCCCCTCCACGTGTGTCCCCTCCTCTGCTCCTGCTGAACCCAAGAGTGAGTTAATGCGACACACAACTGTGTATTTTGTGTTTATTTAAAAAAAAAAAAAAAATGTAATTCATAATTTTGGGGAACATTAAGGCTCCCCATGTAGATCATCAGTCTCCATCTATGTCAATTGTAAATGATGTCCTTTTCTTTTAGCAATGCATGAGGATGAGGCGTTGGAGAGGGCTATGATCAGCATCTCCCCATCCAAGGAGCATGTGGATATGTGTAAGTTGTATCTGTTATGTGTTAGCTTTGTCTTTGTTGTACTTTGCATTAAAGGTCTATTTTTTTTTTTTAATTACAGCCGTGTCTGCACCAGTTTCAGCCGCTGCTGATCTCCATCAGTCCTCAGGTTGATAGAGAAATTCCCTGATGTCGTACCCTGAAGGACTCACTTTCAGTGTCTCAGCCTCAGTTAAAGTCAGGTAAAAAATCAGTACCTTTCCCAATATAGATTTAGTTTTTTGTTTAAAAATATTGATGTATTATATTTTATTTGTCTTCTCCATCTAGTGCCTGGACTGGACCAGTGAAGGCAGGAGGGAGGGTCTTTGTGTTGGACTACAGGTGCTGGCCCTCTCCAGTGAACACTACCACTGATGATCTGCTTCCAAACATCATGGGACAGAAGGACATGCTTAAGCTTGTGGATCAAGAGTATGCCACGCCTGTCCACAGCTCCAGCAGAGATCCCAACAGCATGCCACATTCAACCACAAAACTGCACATTTTATAATACATAAAACACAACAGCAAATTATTAAACACATCCAAGCCAAAGCCAAAGTCCAAGTATGAGGGTGACGGCAACTCCATCCATGAGTCCTATCAGCAGAGTGCTATCAGATATTTCTACTGCTCCATCAAGGTTTTTCAAAACCTATGGAGCAGCTTTAAGGACTTTGTGTCCATAGAGTTACTCAAGTAAAAGTACTGTTTGTCTGTCTATAAAAGTATTGTTTGAAAATTGTAACTACAATTCTTCATTACATTTTAAAAATATAAATTTTACTGTATGTTTATAACCTCTGGTGTAAAGTTTAATGTAAGTACTTGTAATTACACACACTGTGGGGTTGACATCACTAATCTGTTTTATATTTATCCTGTAAATAGTATATGTGAATATGTATGTAAATATGAGTAATGTCCTGTAAATAAATTGTATCTGAACTGTACATATTTTGTTTTTTACATTTGTAACTCTCAGTAAATGTTTGTGTATTTGTGTATTTTCTTTAATGCATTATTATAGATTCAGAACATAAGACTTTATAAAACTTTGTTATAAAGTGATAAGAGATAAATGAATTGTATAATAAAATGAGTACTGATTACAATAAAATAAAAACGTATAAAGTGTTCAAATAGAGAGGTAGATGGAGGTGTGGTGAACAGTTTACTACTCCAAAGCTGAGTGATGTGATAATAGCAGTGTTTGAGGCTATTACATTGTTGTTGACCTTCTGAAAAACATTTTTTTTTTTTACCTCTTGGCCATTCCAGGTTTATTTGGCTAAGGTGGCACAAAAGATCACCATTTGCGACCTGCACTGTACAGTATGAGCCTTTTTAGATCATAAACAAGGCATTACCTGTCACAAAATGTAATAAACATAATGCAGTCTGTCTCAGCATTAACTGTAAACTGTTTTATGATAGAATGATCAGTTGTATGTGATTTTCTAAATATGCGACTGGCTGCGGGGAGATGGACTTTGAGTCCATCGCTTTAACCTCTTGCCCACAGCAACAGCACCCTTGTATTTGCATTAGAATATAGTTGATGTGTATATAATTATGTTTGAAACAAGAGGAATGGTAAGTCCCTGTGGTTGATAGTTAGAAAGCCAATATCTGTCTGTGCACTTCTTGGGTGTTGCCTTAACCACACGCTCTCTACAAGATGACATTTTTCGACAAATGCAGTGAAAATGTGAGACAGACAATGGCAAACAATGAAGACAAGTTTACTTTAAATGTCACATAAACACAGCAGCACAAATTGTTTAATTCACTGTAGATTTACTGGAGATGCAGGGGATTGATCCCAGGATCACATATATGCAAAGCATGCAGTCTGCCACTGAGCTACATCCCCTTCCTATCACAGCAGCAAACTAAGTCCAAGTAATGTAACTTTGGCCATACCAACTTGTCAAAGCCTGATCCCATCAGATCTCAGAAGCTAAGCAGGGCTGGGCTTGGCTAGTACTTAGATGGGAAACCACTGGGAGAATCAGGTGCCACAGGGGGGCGCCAGTCACATAAACTGTCATTGTGTCCTTAGGCAAAGCTCTTCACCCACATTGCCTAATATGAAAGTGGTGTGTGTGTAAGTGACAATGGGGGTTGGAGGGGCTAATGGTGCAGATTGGCAGCTGCGCTTCCATCAGTCTGCCCCAGGGCAACTGTGGCTACAGTAGTTTATCACCACTGGGTATGGAGTGAATGAATAATGATCTGTAAAGCTTCTTTGTGACATGTCTGTTTTTATATAAATAAAAACTTACTTTTGCAAATTGAGACTACACTATTCACAGGGTTCCATTTATAAAATTTACATAGAGATACTGGAGCTTGAACACTGAACATCATTCCTGCTACACATACGCTACAGCGCTGACCTTCATGCTCTAAACCTGCGCTGAATGGACTACAGCGCTGACCTTCATGCTCTAAACCTGCGCTGAATGGACTACAGCGCTGACCTTCATGCTCTAAACCTGCGCTGAATGGACTACAGCGCTGACCTTCATGCTCTAAACCCGCGCTGAATGGACTACAGCGCTGACCTTCATGCTCTAAACCTGCGCTGAACGGACTTTGTAAGGGAAGAAACTTTTGCTACTTGAGATTATGTATTGGAAGGGGTGCAATAAAAGCTCTGTTGACAGATATGGTGGGGATTGAACCCAGGACCTCATACATGCAAAGAATGCACTCTATCACTGAGCTACACTCCCTACTGTCTTCAGTGATCATTACAGAAACTACATCTCTGATTAGATCTGGATATGACAATGGACACAAAAACAAAACAAGTGTATTCAACAAATACTCGTTGCTGGCAGGACTCGAACCTGCGCGGGAACATCCCAATGGATTTCAAATCCATCGCCTTAACCTCTCGGCCACAGCAACAGCACACCAGCTCTTTCATTAAAATATAATTGGTTTGTATATGTTTGAAACAAGCGATGATGAGTCAGAGATTAAGAAACAGTTTCAACAGTGCACAGCAGGGGCACCAGCTTAATAAAAATATTTTTTATATCCACAAATGTTCCACTCATAATAGAAAATCAAGTGCTGTGTGACAACACTTACATGCTAAAGTACATGTGAAGAGGTCCATTCTTAGTAGAATAAACATGGTGACTTAATTTTCCTGGTCTCTCAGTCAATTGGAACTACTTCTTTAAGGATACAATCTCTCTGACTATATAAAAAACTGAGAATGCTTTTATTTGCTTTACTTGACATTTGACTGACATCATGACATTTCTGTGGAGCAGTCATTGTCTGTGCAGTTTCATTTGAACTCCTCAGTCCTGTGGTAGTGTGACTGAGAGGTCTAAGGTGCTGGATTTAGGCTCCTCACTCCGGAGGTTTGGGTTCAAATCCTGCCACTATGGGAGACAACATTAGTCACAGGGTGACATTTATAAAGTGTTATATGGAAAGTGAACACTGTACTTCATACCTGCTAAGCATATGGTCTAGTACTGACCTTCAAGCCCTGAACCTCCACTGAACAGACTTCCCAAACAAAGCAACTTTGCTACTTGAGATTAAAAGGTGCCATTAAAAATGTCATGATTTATTTATTTTTTGTAATTGTTTACAATGTAACATTTATTAATGGAAAAACACACACATAAGCTGTAATTTGTTGAAAAAATTTAGTTTTGAAAGCACTGTACAATTTTACATGAGAGCCCAAAAATTGTTGAGAAAAGTGCACTTATCGGCTGTTTCTATAGGTGCCTGTGACATCCCACTGTTTTGCTCTCACACCAAAAAATAATCTCCAATTACGTTTTTTGGGTGAAATATGCACATCACAAACATTAGATTAATGTGTACTTTTTCCCATTGAAATATATGCACTGTTCTGGTTGAATATTGAATAATATCACCTAATTTGAACAATATAGTTATGTATCCTGTATGCTATTCTTATAAGTTTAAAAGACTGGTTTGCCATGACCACTGGGCTTAATTTTTGGTCAAAACTCAACTGTTCATAAAGCTTCACATGTCACCCGCTGTCACTGGGCCTTCACTGCTGAGCCCCACTTCAATTCTCAAATCAAAGTCCATGTTAAACTGACTCACATGTTCACAAACCACAGTGACAGTCCCACCAGATTGTCATCAGAACTTGGAGTGGAAGAGAAGCTCCATAAAAGCTAATGTGGAAAGTCTGATTCACTCACTGTGCAGATGGATTGAGGATAAGTATATCTTTGGTGCATGTGTCTTTTTAAACTCCTTAATAATACATAGTTCATTCATTCATTTCAGAGCATTTCTGTAGTAAGCTTTTTTCTTGTAACGTGACTACAGCAGTGTGTGCAGTTTGTGCCCTCCGAGGGGGTTTTGAAAGCAGTGGTTGTGCTTAAGTTGCATATTCAGCAAATGGTAGACGTAGAGTATAAGCAATGAAAAAACAGCTCAGTTATGCAGGAATGGTCAGGTCTGTGTATTGTGTACCTGGACCTAAAATGCCCATATTTTCAAAAGGCAAATTAAATGACATTTACAAAAAAAAAAAAAAAAAAACACCTTTGAGTTGCATAACCTGCTTGGGGGCGTAATTGCAGACATGTTTTTTTTAATCCTTGGTTTTGGTTTAACAGAAAATGCAGTGAAAATCCCTGCTCCAACCCTGACAGAGATTGCCCCTTTTTATTAATTTTATTTAATTTGTTTGCTTTCTACCATATTAATACGTTGTTTTTGGCATAAACAAAGCATACCCCCTCTTTTCAGCCTTGTATACAAAGTTTGACTGTAAAAATGCAATCCCATTAAACTGGATTGTTGTTTCCAAAGTGTTGATGACCCAGGGCAGCCAGCAGGGGTCTCAGCCGAGCCAGTCTCCTGGAGTAGGCTCCGTGACGTCAGTGGAAGTGTTAGAGAGAGCAGATGGAATGAGCTTCTTGGGCTCCACATAACAGCCTCATCTTCTATTCACTTCTGTTTATTCACCGCCAAATACCACACAACCATTTCCTCCAGGGGCCGCACAGAAATAGACAAGCAGCGGGGGCAGTGGTAATTCCAAGCTCTCAGCAATGAGTACAAGTGTATGACGCCTGCTTGGTTTGAAACAGCAAAGAGAGCAGATGACAGAGGAGGTCAGTCCAAAACAAAAACAAACAATGTCCCCACAATTACTGACTCCACCTCCCCACCCCGAACTCCTAATACCCCAACAACTGGCGTGCAATCAGACAGTAAAGTTTTACATTTGTATGGTTCTCCAACACGTTATGCACTCTAGTTGTACCCGCCTGTTAGCCTATGATTATATCAAAGTTAAATCCGACCCGCCCAAACCCGTTAACATTCCACCTGTTACCCGCCCATGCCCGTGATAAATCACACACAGATCAAAAGCATTCTAAATGAAGCATCCATCAGAATACGAACTGAAAAGTTAGAACATCAAGAATTACAATCACGAAATGAAATTAAACAGTTACACTTTCTTCAGTATGATTACAAATTCACAGACTCGACTGTCATCACTTCACAGGCTTTATTTACTGAGCAGAAGAAACTCTGACTGAGATGCCACACGGACTGAACCAGGACTAACCCAGAACTAACCCAGGACTGATTCCAGGGCATAATCATGAGGATTAAACCAGGACTGAACTAAGACTAAAACATGACTGAACTAGGACTAAACCAGGACTAAACTAAAACTGGACCAGGACTCACTGTCGGGACGGGCTCGGAGGTGCAGACTGTCGGGTGACCGCAGGCAAAAGGATCGGTGTAGAGCTCCAGGCCCCATCACGGTTTGTGGACACCCTGCTCCACGGGCTCAGAGTTCTCTCTTTTATTGTCAAGATTAGTTCTGGTTTAAACCTGGTTTAGGTCTGGTGTAGTCCTGGATTAATCCTGATTTAATCCTGACTTGCCCATGTGTAATCACTACCTGCCAGCATTTCTGGCCATAAAATTCCAGAATGTTAAAACCTACCCATTTCAGCAATTATTTGCCCGTACCCGTTGGATACTTGATCTGGTGCACGACTCTGACATGATTGCCTAAGTCATTTTCAAGACAGGAAAATGGAAAAAAAAAAAAAAAAAAAAAAAATCAGTTATCTTCTGTTAACTTTTAGTCATGAATTTTTTTTTTCTTTTAGCGAAATCATTCACATTTCCAATTAAATGCGACTTGTATGTGATCTCCAGTGTGAACTTTAAACTCCCCAAAAGTGTCCCGCATGAGTATTGGAGGACACAAAGTCGTCACAAGAAGCGAGCATGTACAGTGTTTACAGAATAAACGCTTGGCTTGTCTCTCAAAATACAGTCCAGTTATTCGTAAAATGGACAGGTTAAGCATCAACGGCGACTTCGTTTGTTTGAGTCTTCAGCCTCCAAACCCGCCTGGTTCAGATAAGACTCCTTATCCTTGAATACAGCAATCCCCCCAAATATTAATAAACTGTCTAACCTCGCTTTCTCTCCATTGACTAGACTCTGAGCCTGACGTGTAGGTGGGATGAATGTTTTGGGAGCACATATCCAAGTGGCATTTGAGAAAATCTGATCTGTGCCGTTCAAATTGTTGTCAAAAGATCAGATACAGGTAACATAGGGCTGAAAAAATTTAGATTTGTGTCACTTCAGGCTGCAGTCTGATCGTGGCCTTTATAATAAGAAATACACTGATAGCATAGTTTGGCTGTGACTGTGTGACGTTGACATATTAAATAACCCACACACCTGGTCTCATGTGTATAAAATTTTGACGCATTTAGTTCCGACTCAAACTGGGGAGTCACTGAGCGTTTGGTGCAGTCTGTCTGTGTGATGGGGCACAGAAGGCACATCAAAGACTCCGCTCCGGCTCCATGCAAAGCTTCACAAGGGCACACTTTGCATATCTAAAAACCACAGTCTTGGAGGTGAGACGTCGCCCCCTCCTCCGTCTCACTCACGGACAGTCAGTGCTTTCAAATGGACTCCGTAATCCAATATTGACTTTAATGACGGAACTGGAGGGGTCTGATGTAACCGTGATGAGTTGTTGTGGGTCTCTGAGCTGAAGGTTGGCTCATTTTGGAGGAGGATTGCATTAGGCACCCGGAAAAGACACTCATGAGATCAACATATCTTCGAGTTTCACATGCGCAGCTGTCTGTGGTTTGAAATATCCAACAAATATGTGAGTCTCTTTTCTTTTCTTTTAAGGTTAGACATTTAGACCAACACAAACGTCACTGATACACAAGGGAAAATACTTGGACACAGTAGGGGTAGTCACAAATACTGTATGGTGGTTTGTAAATGCAGGTTCATCAATTTGCAAATACATGTAACTGTGGTGACATTTGTGAATCGCTTAACATTTTCTTTTGAGTCGAGAAATGCTTTTGTGAATGTTGTTACATTTATTTGTAAGTCATGTATTTGTGGATGGCGTGATATTTATTGGATAATGAACACACAAACCTATCTCCAAACTCAGAAGCTGAGAGCCTCTGAGGCTCAGGCGATGTCCACCGACAACGCTCCTGGATTTTTTTTTTGGGGGGGGGGTGAAAAATTCGCATCCACACATGTGTCGGCTCAATAAATATTCATGTCCTGACAAAGGAGCACTGAGTGAAAACGATGTAATACATATGTCACACCTGTATGTGGCGCTGTTAAAATAAAATAAGATTTAATAATGCACATCTCATCACAGTTTTTTTTTTTTTTCACTTTAAGGTAATTTAGCCTATTTTAGATGTATCCCAGAATTATAGCCGTTTTGTTTTGCAAAAGTTTGCAAAAGTTTTCGGTTTTGGCCATAAGATTTGGATGAGAATTATTAGAATAACTTGGTCTCAACAACTGACAGGTTGATTACCCGTGCATAATCTTTGTTATTGATCCATGTGCGTAAT